TTTTATCAGTGGCTACTCCAGGCTGTGTTTGGGGATCGCGGTTGTCTGTGCTGGGGCACCCAGAGGTGCCAGATATAAAATCTGGGTGTCCTGCTTGAAAAGCATGCCCTTAGCACATGGAATATCTCCCCAGCCCTCCTTCTCCATTCTTATAGGATTATATATATATAAATAATCATATATATATATATACACATATTTGCTCTTTGGGTCACACCCGGCGATGCTCAGGGGTTACTCCTGGCTCTGCATTCAGGAATTACTCCTGGTGGTGCTCTGGGGGACCATATGGGATGCTGGGATTCGAACCTGGGTCAGCCGCCTGCAAGGCAAACGCCTTACCCGCTGTGCTATTGCTCCAGCCCCAGGTTTATGCTTTTATGAAAAAAAATTGTATAATTTTCTGTTGTGGGTTGGTGGGGGAGGCAGGAGATGAGAGAAGGGAAATTTAGAGTTGCTTCTTCCTCTAATTTCTGAGAGAGAAAGTGGACGGCTTTGAGAGATGGTGGACATATCTAGGGCTAAAGGTTAGGGTTCGGGTTCAGGCTATTTTGGAGTTAGGAAGTGAGAGAAGATTTATAATAAAGTAATGAACAACTCCAGGGGGGAGGGGTCCCAAGGAGCTCTGTCAAGAACCATCTGATCTCAAATCTGCCTTGCCGATACATGAAGGGATGCTGACTGTTAGAAGCAGGAGAGAAGGTTGACTGTGAGCTGTTTCTTTTCTGGTCTTTTTTCCTGATAAGTCACAAACGGTGAGGGGTATGCAACATAAACAAACGTGTTCCCAGGGTTGATCTTCAATCATGTTTGAGTGCATAGGCCCAAGGATGCTTGAGGTTTTCTTTCCCATTTTCTAAATGGAAATGTTATTGATTTACAAATAGTTCACAATCTGTTGGGGCTGGACTGAGCAGTCAAGATGAGCCCATGTAGACTGCACTGCACAAAGGGCAGAAACATAGGGACCCATGAAAATAGGTGAGATTTCTTGTGTGTCCTGACTGATTTGGATGAAGCTGAACATCTTTTTCCTTTAAGCTGCCTTCAGTAAATAATTTCATAAACTTCAGTATATTGAAATAGACAGTTTTTCTTTTTCTTACAGAAGCCCAACTTGATCTTTGACATATAAATTCTGGGCTCTGGCCCAGCCTAATCTTTGGGATGCAAATCTGAGTGCTTGTAGCCCAAGAAAGTTTTCGGTTTTGGTTTTGTATGTCCTTCTGGAGGTGAAAAATCACTGCCCAGCAGACACAAGGAAACAATATATGCCTTGCCTGCCTCAATGTTCTTTCTGTAACTTTTTTTGATGACGTCACTATATCGTGCCCTTTAGAGGTATGGTGATCAATAAAAGGAGACCTCAGGACACTCTTCCTTTGTCACAGAATCAGAGAGAGTCCAGTGATCCTCCATGAAAATAATTTCTCTCACGTTCCTTGTCTCCGTGCCTCTGACTGAACAAATATCCACACAACAACAATCATTTAAAATTTCCGGAATTGGGCTTTTCATTGCTATGTTTGTGTGAACTCACACCGCACCAAGTTTTAGAGCCCTCATCCTATTCAAATGACTCTCTCTGCTTGTTCATTTCACTACTCCTTTCCTTTTCCTCTGGTGACCACCACACAAACACCGTAGTTTTTATTTTATTTTATTTTTTGCTTTTTTTTTGGGGGGGTAGTCACACCCAGCGATGCTCAGGCTCTGTGCTGGCTCTGTGCTCAGGAGTTGGGAACCATATGGGATTCTGAGGATTGAACCCCAGTTGGCCATGTGGAAGGCAAGAGCCCTACCTGCTATACTATTGCTCTGGCCCCAAACACCATAGTTTTTAGAGTTCAAGGGCTAAATGAGATCTTTTCTGTCTTCAAAATTTCCCAAACCCTTGAATTTATTTCCTGACAGCACCAAAATTTTGCATGTCAAAACCTGGCCAGTGGGCTCCACAACACTCTGAGAATTCTCTGGGCCCCGTACCAAGCCGATATCACCAGGAGGTTCTAGATGGGGCAGGTGCTGTTTCCCTGCCTTCTCCAGATGGAATCCTGGCAACCATGAGCTTCCACAAGCAGAGCTCCAGTATGTGGGCACCAGGACTATTCTTCCAAACTGTGTGGCCACTTATCCGGCCATGCGACCTTTCCTGATATGCAAAGTGATCAATGGAAAGTAAATTATTTAGCGTCTGTCCCTGGAAGGCAAACTTGAATGGTGGTGGGAAAATTCGAGCAAAAAATAATGCCCAACTGAAATGCATCTGGACTGTGCATTAAACTACAGCACCATGCTGCCCCGGGAGGGGAATGGTGTTTGTTCCTCCACCTTTTCCCCCTGGAAGTGGCAACACAGTGGCAACTATCTTTCAGAGCCTACTGGACAGCCGGGTATGAGACAGCAGTGATGAGGCACGTGGGGCCTCATGGGATGGGGGGTGGAACCAGCCCCGGTCCCTGCCCTGACAAGGCCCCAAGTTGACACCCACAAACACCTCCTCTGGCTCCTGAACGACCATGATCCCAGAGGCACACAAACCAAACTCAGAACCCAGTGGCTTTTGGCAGTAATCCCTCCACACTTATTATTAGAATATCACAAATCCAAAATCATGTAGCCACAACAGTGGCTGCATGACATCATATGCTCTTCATAATCAGCAATAGAAAACAGTTACCTAATGATGTCTTTTTGGCAGGTCTTATTGTTGGGGAAAATTCCAAATAATAATAGTGGGTCACTATCCTCCCGTTGTTCATTGATTTGCTCGAGCAGGCCCAGTAATGTCTACATCATGAGACTTGTTGTTACTGTGTTTGGCATATCGAATACATCACGGATAGCTTACCAGGCTTTGCCGTGCAGGCTAGATACTCTCAGTAGCTTGCCGGGCTCTCCGAGAGGGGTGGAGGAATCAAACTTGGACTGCCATGTTGTCTGCGTGCAAGGCAAATGCCCTACCCACTGTGCTATCACTCCAGCCCAGTAGGTTGGGCTGGAGACATAGCACAGTGGGTAGGGCATTTGCCTTGCACACAGCCAGCCCGTCTGAGCTGGGTTTGATTCCTCTGCCCCTCTCGGAGATCCCGGCAAGCTACCGAACCCGCACGGCAAAGCCTGGCAAGCTATCTGTGACGTATTCGATATGCCAAACACAGTAACAAGTCTCACGATGGAGATGTTACTGGGCCCGCTCGAGCAAATGGTGGGTCTTTTGTTGTAATATTGAATTTGATCAACATAGAGAGAGAGTAAAGTGGAAATCTGCCACACAGGCAGGGAAAGTGGTGGGAGGGAGGGTATACTGGGGTTCTTGGTGGTGGAAAATGTGTATTGGTGAAGGGACGGGTGTTTGATCATTGTATGACCGACCAAGACTTGAACTGAAAGGCTTGTGACTATTCTCATGGTGATTCAACAAATAAATTTTTTAAAAAATTGCATGTTGTGTTACTGTATTAGTCTAATGTTAAACATTTTAAATGCCTGAGTACAACTTTCTTGATAAATAACCTTTAATATAGTGTTCTTTAAGGATAAATATAGAAAATATCCATTTAAATATTCTTAATAATGATGCTTTTTAAAAATTGGAACATTATTTACTTGGTTTTTGGCCAAACCTACTGGTGCCCAAGGTTTTCTCCTGGCTCGGTATCAGGAATTACTCCTGTCGGTGTTAAGTATGGCGTAGGATGCCAGAAATGGAATCTAAGTTAGCTGTATGCTAAAAGGCAAGGGCCCTACCCACTACTCTCTCCAGCCCCTGGAGTGTTTTTAATCACTTTAAAAACTTTTATGAATGCTATCTAGATTTTTAAAATTTATTATTGATAGTATATTTTCATCCACTTCTATAAATATGACAAGCAAAGCACAAAAATTTCCATCCATCCACTAACAACAATTTACTAATGTGAATTATAATTGTAAGTATATGGATTACATAGAAAGTGTTTTAAAGTAATTAGAAATACATTTAACTATGTATTTCTCCAGTGTAATATGGTTTTATACTTTAGTATTGATTTGATTCTATGGTCATATTTTTATTGGGCAAGCAGGTCTTCAGTTTTAAAACGCAAGTTCCTCACGGTGATTCACATGGAACATTTCTTACTTCTTCTTTTTCTTTTCTCCTGACCTTCAATCTCATGAACAACCTCCAAGTCCGCAGCAAATAATATTGCATCATCTCAAGCAGACACCCCCTGGGGATCCCCACCCCAGACCCTGGCAAAACCACCTGGGCAGCCTCCTCCAGGCGGACCAGCAGCTGGTCCAGTAGCCGCAGTTGCAGACACCGGAGTGACTGGAGCAGCGACGCAACCAGATTAGGGTGCGCAGTGCCAGCCGGACTAGGGCAGGGGTGACTGCGGGGCCCAGCTGGCCCAGGCCCGCTGGAAGCTGCGCTCTTAGGACTGACCACGAGAAAAGACTTTGGGATCCCTTTATTTTTCTGTTTCCCTTTGGTCTTGCACCCCAACCCCTATTTTTATTCCCAAGGTCTCTAGAGTCTTCGGTGGGCACAGAGCAGTGCCCTGCCCCACCCCTAACCAGGCAGGTTTCCCTCTCCCCTCCCCCCCAGCCGCTCAAGCCCTGCCCCTCTGCAGACACTTCACAGCAGCCCTGTGCCATGGCTTCTGGAGGGATGCGTTGGTGTCCGGTTCCTGCATCCCCTGGGGTCAGCCCAGACACTGACTGTGGCCTGTGGGAACCCCATGGAGGGACCTGATGCCACCCTCCACCTCCAGGAGGGCGAGCGAAGAGTTCCCATGGGGGATAGCCATGTCCCCCTGAGCATGGTCAGGGCAGTGGGGATCACCCCACTAACCACTGCCCCCCAACTCCACCAGTGCCTGAGTTGCAACTTGTGTAATGGTGGGGAATAAATCTATGACTCAAAAAAAAAAGTTCCTCTTTTCTTTTCCTTCCTGTATACTTAGTTTCCAAGTTCCTATTTTTATTACATTTTCTTCTGAGTTTAAGGGCTATGACTCTTGCTGTGCTGGTCTTGGGATCAAACCTCTGGCTGAGAGTTTTAGTTCTCATGTAATTCCTCTGAGCTGATTAGTGCGACCTTGGCGCTCTAAGTTGTTCTCAGAGTGATGGGAAGGCTGGCCTGAAGAGAGCAGCACGTTTCTCCTCAATATGACCACAGAGATCACCTACGCTGAAGTGAGATTCAAAGATGAAGCCCAGTCCTCGGGCACCCTATCACAGGCTCCTGCAGGTAAGAAATGTTCTCTGCAAGTTCATCACGAGATGAAGGATGGAGAAGGAAGAGTGTCAGCGAAGAATAGGTGACAGTAGCTGCTAAATTTTTCTATTGAGTGCAGTTGGGAAATGCGGGTTGTTAGTAGCTTGACTTGTCTAATAAGAAACAGAAAAAGGAGTGACTACCCCAAAAGTGAGGTGTGAGAACTAACTCTCACCCCCATGCTAAGGGGAGTGCTGTTAAGTTGAGCATTGCTCTGTCTTGTGGGGTTATTGAGTCTACAGTCAAGAGACTGGTGTTCAACTCTTGTAACCATTGACCCTGATGTGTTTCATCCCATGGGACTAGTCAACGTGGGTAAGGGAGAGGGTGCGAGAGTGAAAGAAAGAGACAGACAGCAGTATTAGAGTATAGTGAGCCAAACACTGAAGCTGCTTTATTGTAAATTCAGCAGCACTTACAAACGTTGAGCTTAAGCTTTGCTCCTCATAGCTTTGGAGCAGAGGCAAAAAAAGGGTAGTCATGGGACAGATGGGGGAGATAGCTGGCTATCAAGGGCTCTTCAGAAGGCTACTTCTTAAACCACAGGCTGACATCAAGAAAGTTCTGGTTCCTGTTGGCCAACCATTCTGTTCTCATAAAATGACTTTCTTAACCCTGTAAATATTCTATAGGCAATGTCTTGTGAAAGCTATGTACCCAAGAGTCCGCTCACTACTTCTCCCTTTCTTTATTTTAATGAAGGTAAGGTTGTTGTTGAAAGGGCATTAACCAGCAAAGGAGAGGAGAGGCCTATCCCCCTGTAGGGCCCTATTGGGGTCCAGTCTAAAAACTAGGCCCTTTTTATAGGGGGAAGGAATTTCCAGGGTCTAACCTCCATGCAGATAGGCATGCTCATCGGCAAGGGCTTGGACCAGCTCAGGGGCTCCCCTTGCCTGCCGATCCCTCTGTTCCACACTTTGAAGGTGCCCTAGCCCAGGGGGTGATTGCTGGTCTCAAGGGTCAGCGGGCATATGACCTGTTAAGGATATAGGGAACTTGATGAAGCACTAAGGTCCTCACTGTATCCCCTATCTGCCAGGTCCAGCTGGTGGTAGTGAACTTGTATGGGTTTAGCCTGCAAGGAGTCCAATTGTTGCTTGATGAAAGTAGTCAGGAGCCAAAAGGCCCATGGTCCAAAGAAAATGAACAGTAAGAGACTGATTGGAGGACCAAGTATAGTAGGTAACAGAGTTGTTAGCCAAGGGGAAGTAGAAAACCAAGTTTGAAACCAGCTTTGTTCCAGGTCCTGTTGTCTCTTGTGTTTCTCCAGGTCCTCCCACACTTTAGCCATAGAGTCCTTAACCAGCCCCAATTGGTCCATGTAGAAACAGAACTCTTCTTTCAGATCAGCACATAGTCCTCCTTGCTGGAGGAGCAGCAAGTCAAGACCTCTCTGATTCTGCAACACCATTTCAGCCAGGGAGGTCATGGAATCCTGCAGAAGGGAGATGACCGCTTCCATTTTCTCGATGTCCTCATCTATGGATATTCTAGGTGCCATTGAGAGGCACATGCAGATTAGATCCTTGACTCATCTCCAGCCACTTCAGGGTTATGAAGGCCAGTTGCTGGAACAGCAGAATTTGTGTCAGTGATTTCTTCTTGGCCATCTTTGTCGGTTTCACATAGGAATGAAGGAGAACAGGTCTCAGGGTCTTCCAGGTCCCTGGAAGCAGGTATATCATTAAAATGCTTCACTAATCTTTCAGGAATCCATCTAGCAGCTCCTTCTTTAAGACCAAAGATACACACAGACCCACGTCCCCCTATAAGTACAGGGTCGGGGCTGTTCCATTGGGCAGTCAGTGGGTCTTTCCATAAGGCAGAGGCATAGAGCTCTTTTGTGGTGGGATGCCAAAGCCTATCCGCTGAGGATCGTCCATGAGAATCCAAGTTTAGGAAATTAATAATGAAAAGAGAATGTCCTAAGATATTATGAGGTGCTCCTTTAACAAGGTAGTGCTGCCCCTTCTTTAATTTATGAAGCATGTTTTTTACAGTGAGATGTGCTCTTTCCACAGTCCCTTGACCCTGGGGGTTGTAAGGGATACCTGTTCAGCGAGTGATTCCAAAAGAGGAGCAAAATTCCTGAAAAAAGTTTCCAGTATAACCAGTCCATTATCAGTTTTAATGATTTTTGGGTCTTCCCATGACAGCTAAGCAGGAAAGGGTATGTGCAAGAATATTCTTTCCTGCTTCTCCCGCCTGCAGCGAGCCACAGATAAATCTATTAAAGGTATCCATGATGACATGTAGGTACTTCAATTTTCCAAATTCAGAGACATGAGTCACATCCATCTGCTAGATGTTGTTAGGTACTAAAACATGGACATTAACCCCCAGGTGTTGGGTAGGCAAAGAGGTCACACAGGTCGAACACTGTTTAGCCACTTGTCTAGCCTGTTCTCGACTTAAGGAAAACATTTGTTGCAAGGTATTGGCATTAAGATAGTGCAACGAGTGTGCTTGTTGGGCCAATTCAACTCCTGTGGCATTCATCACTCCCACAAATTTAGTAGCCTGATCAATCAGAGCATTTCCTAGTGCAAGGGGGCCAGGAAGGCTGGAGTGAGCTCTAAGATGTCCTATATAAAAAGGAAATTTTTTAACTCTAATTAATTCTTGAATTTGCACAAACAAGCAAACCGCATTAGAGGAGGGTTTGAGATAACTGTTTCTAATAAAGGGAAGGAATAAGCAAAATATGCACTATCCATATACAAATTAAAGGAAAAATCACCGTAATGGGAAAAAGCAGCAAGAACTGCACATAACTCCACAAGTTGAGCTGAGTTATATGAGGTCGGGAAGGAATAGGTCTGGTCTTTAATCACAAGCGTGACTGTTCCTGTGGAAGATCCATCAGTAAATATAGTAGCGGCCTCAGGGATAGGGTGAGGCATGCAAACAGAAGGAAAAATAAATAGCGTCATTTTCAAAAACTGTAACAACTTATTGGCGGGGTAATGATTATCTATGGGGCCAGAAAAAGAAGCACAGGAAATGGACCACAGGTCTTCATTTTGGAATAACCAGTCAAGCTGGTCCTTAGAATGGGGTTGAATCAGTTTGTCAGGATCTTTGCCAAAGTATTTTCTGCTAAAGTCACATCCCTGGATAATTATTTGTGCTATTAAAACATAATAGGGCACCAGAATCCTTCGAGGAGTGGTGAGTGCATGGACCCAGGAAACAGAGCTATCCATCCTGCCAAATAAGGCCTGTAGGAGAATGTGAGTTGGCCAGAATGATGAGGCAAAAGAGTTTCTTGTAATCGAAAGCACAAATAAACTGTTGTGAAATAGCTGATTCCACTCGGGTAAGTGCGAGCTGGGCTTTCCGAGACAATTCTCAAGGGGATGTTGGATCAGGATCACCCTTTAATATGTCAAATAAAGGTTTAAGGTTCTCAGTGGTAACATGTAAATAAGGCCTGAGCCATTTATATTGCCTAATAGCTTTTGAAAATCATTGAAGGTCTTTAGATGTGAAGTTCATAATCTGTGTTTTCTGGGTTAAGACTTTCCCCTTTTTTTAACTCAAATCCTAAAAAAGGAAAAAGGTTCAGCTGTCTGCACTTTCTCAGGAGCGATTTGCAACCCAGCTTGTGATAAATTTTTTACCAGTTGATAACAATATTGAAGAAGGTCGGTTTCATCCTCACTTCCTAATAATATGTCATCCACGTACTGGACAATATATATCTGTGGCCAATGTAAGCTCATGGGATCAATTATTTGGGCAACAACTTTTGACAAAGTGTCGGATTGTTAGCCATTCCCTGTGGCAGGACTTCCCATTGATATCTTTTCATGGGTCCTGTGTAGTTAATTACAGGGAAGCGAAAAGCAAATCTCTTCCAATGTTCAGGCTGCAAGGGAATGGGAAAAAAAGCAATCCTTTAGGTCAATGACAATTTTCTTATAAGAATCAGGGATAGCTACTGGGGAGGCCAAGCCCAGTTGCAGGGCTCCAAAAATGACCATAGTCTTATTAATAGCTCTCAAATCCTGACACTGTTTAATAGAGAGGACTTCGTTGATCAGAGATCAGTAATTAAAACATGTGATAGGAACTTTATCAGGACCAAATGTGTTGTAAAAATCCTGAAGAGTACCACCTACTCTTTTCCAATGCTTTACATCGATGGTGCTCTTTTGGAGAACCATGGGCAGACATCACAAAGGAATGTAAAAAAAACGGATTAAGTCCTTCTTTTTGATTTTAACCCCCCTAGTTTTTAGTGCCTCCTTTAGATCAATAACGAACTTCTCCCTAATCCATAATTCCTGACCCATGATGAAAGGGAAAAAGTCTAAAAGGAGAAGCGAAGGAGGTGAGAAGGAAGAGAAGATAGGTTCAGAAAAGCAGTCAACAACAATTGCTTATAATCATGGTGAATGTAGGCTGGAGCGATAGCACAGCGGGTAGGGCGTTCGCCTTACAAGCGGTCAACATGGCCGACCCGAGTTCGATTCTTCCGCCCCTCTCGGAGAGGCCGGCAAGCTACCGAGAGTATTCGATATGCCAAACACAGTAACAACAAAGTCTCCAATGGAGACGTTACTGGGCCCGCTGGAGCAAATTGATGATCAATGGGAGGGCCTTTACCTTTACCTTTACCATGGTGAATGTAATGCTTAGTTAGGAGTACCTAATTCATGCACAGTTTTTCTTCTGTGAGGGACACGAATTTATCTGGGGTTCTCAGCTGTGATCACCTTATCCTTTTTCGGGAGTCTGCTAGTGGCAGGTGTCTAATGGCGTTTAAGTGCCCAACCTGTGCCCACAGGGGAGTAGTCGTTGGCCTAGGAGAAACAGCGTTCAAAGAGACTAATAACAATGAAGATAATGGAGATCAAAAAGAATCTGAAAACAAATGGCAAATCTTGTGGCAGGACACAAATGAAATCAATAGAAGAGAGACATGCCGTGAGTGGGGGAGGAGACAAAGAGTTCTTTGATGGATCAATTCTTCGACCACCTAGTCCCTTTCTGACATAGATTGAGAAAAGAGATCCACTGCTCACCTTTTCCGAAGTCTTCTTGACTACTGTGTTCATGGCCACTTCTCAGCAGTTCTTGTTGCAGGAATCCCTCATGCCCTGCGCCACGTTGGGTGCTACCTGTTTCGTCCCTCAGGACTAGTCAACGTGGGTAACAGGGAGAGAGTGCGAGAGTGAAAGAAAGAGACAGACAGCAGGATTAGAGTATAGTGAAGCTGCTTTATTGTAAATTCAACAGCACTTATATAAGTTGAGCTTAAGCTCTGTCCCTCATAGCTTCGGGGCAGAGGCAAAAAAGGGTAGTCATGGGACAGATGGGGGAGATAACAGGTTATCAGGGGCTCTTCAGAAGGCTCCTCGTTAAACCACAGGCTGGCATCAAGAATGTTCTAGTTCCTGTTGGCCAACCATCCTGTTCTCTTAAAATGCCTTTCTTTTTTATTTTTTAAATTTTTTTGTAAAATGCCTTTCTTAACCCTGTAAATATTCTATAGGTAATGTCTTGCGAAAGCTATGTACCCAAGAGCCTGCTCACTACACTGATGCAGAGCCTTTGATGAATGAATGAATGAATGAATGAACGGGCTCCTTTCCTTGATTAGAGTGGAAGAGGTTTTCAGGGACTGTATTTGTTCATTTGTTAAATTTGTTAGTTGTGTACTCAGGGATAACAAAAACCTCTAGGTTGAACACTGGAAAGTCTCACAAAGACAGTTAATTACTTCTCAAAGGAAATAGAAAACATAAAGTTTAAATTATATTTATTCTTATCATCCAGAGATACTAGTAATTTAGATTTTACTGCATGTAATTCCAGTTGTAAGTAAATGTAAGCATTTCTCTTGTAAACTTAAAATCATATTGTATATTACTGAGTTTCTTCTTATTTGGGATTGTATCATAACAGAAAATTAATTTATTTTTCTCTTGGGGGACACACCAGAGCTACTCAGGAACTCCTCCTAGGTCCATGAGGGGGGTCCCTCCCCATGATATATAGGGGATCATGTCTTGTCAGGAAGGTAACATGGGTCTCCAGCATGCAAAACGTATGCTCAGTTCTTTGAGTTATTTCTCCAGCCAAATAGTTTCTTTCATTGAGGTAATATTGGTTTATAACAGGGCTTTAAAAACTTATCTACTTGAGAACTCTTCTTCTGGGGAATGCAATGTGGGTGCAAGCTGCGAAAAAGACCTCAACTTCATTATGTGGTTGGTTTTGAAGTAAGTTTGGGTCATTGCAGGTTCAGAAACATTTTCAATGCATTTTACTACAGACTTGATAAGGGTTGACTCAAAGACTTAGCTGCTATGGTCTTATTTTAGAATAGACAAAAGGTTGAAGGAATAATACTCCAGATAACTGTTTGCCTGTAAACTGAAGTACTATGCAAATAGAAAAGAGAGTATTGAAGAAAAGCTGCTGGTACAAAAATTGATCATGCTGAAATTTCCAAGCTTTCTCAGAGTGGGGGGTGGACTCCTTCCCCTGACATCCCAATCAATATTCATGGAAGCACTGGCAGTCACCCCCACAAACCAGCTATTCTACTAGCCTTGCTTCAGCAACCCATAATAAATCTCGAAAGAGATCAAAAGCAGCAACTAAGCTTGAACCAGTGCTAGGCTGAAAAGACAGGGTTAATCAGAGGAAGCGAGTTGGCCAATACCCACCCAAGCAGAACCTCTGGCAGCCGCTTGCTCCCACAATCCAAAATCGCCGCCATACCTGACCGTGCTGTCTCAGGACAGACCTCATTGAGACATAATCTGTGGACAAGTCTGGTATGTGTTTTTTTCATGACTGAAAACTCCAGGCCCATAAATAAGTTCACACATATAGAGACATAAAATTTATGGTAAAAGAACAAAGACCATACAACAAAATAAAACCTCTTGAACAAGGTAGCAGGAAAACAACTGTAAAATCATAAAACATAAAACTAGATCATGACTTAACATAATGAAAAACTTACTCAAAAGGCAAAATGCATTAAATTTTGGGTATTAGACTTGAAAACATAAACTACATAGAAGGAAACAAATTGAAATACTACAGGATCTAAACTTTAGAGCTCTATTTGGGGACTTAACTGTAATTGTAAAGGAAGCAAAATTAAAAAAAAATTTAAAAAAAGGAAACAAAATCAGAATAAACAAATGGAACTGCATCAAACCAAAACGTTTTTGTCCAGTAAATCATAAATAAATAATCCCATAAATCAAAACAGCAATATCAAACCTGGAGAAATGTTTGCACATACTGTGTTTGATAAGGGGTTAATTTCCAAGAAAAACATAAAAAACTCACACAACTCAACACCAAAATAGCAAACAAGCCAATCAAAAAGTGGACAAAAATGTTGAAGAGTCACATGCTCCAAAAAATCCACAAAGATGTCCTATGAATACATGAAAAAATGTTCAGTGTCACTTATTAAAGGGAGATTAAAATGAGAACTACAATGAAAAATCACCTCACACCAATGAGAATGAGAATGGACTATGTTAAAATTATTGAAAACAGAGTTGGCAAGGATTTGGGGGAAAAGGGACTCTGATATACTTTTGGTGAAAGTGAAATTGGTGTACCCTGTAGAAAATGCTATGGAGATTCCTTAGGAAAATAAACATGAAAATTCCATTTGATCCATGATAACTTTCCTAGTCATTAATGTGCAAAACCGGAAAACACTCATAGAAAAGAATATGTTTACCTCTATGTTTATTAATAGCATTATTCACATTAGCCAACACATGCTCCTCAAGAGATGGTAGAGATGGTTGGCCAGTGAAATTGTCAAAACAAATTTTTGCTAAAAAAAGATAAAATCCTGATTTTTCAGACAAAATTGATGGAACTTGAGGTGTGTATGTTAAGTGAAATAAGAAAATGAAATACATTTACTAGATCATTGCACTAATATGTGGGATATAAATCACTAAAGCAAATGAATGTACAAAACCCAAGAAAACTGGACCTGGGGCTAATTCAGTGGTAGAGTGCTTACCTTGAAAGCATGAGATCAAAAGTTTGATCCCCATCACTGCCCCTCATGCCAAGTGTGATTCTGGCAGCGTTGCTTCTAATGATTCGTAGTGTCACAGAAGAGTCTGTGCCCCTCCACCAAGTGTTTTTCAGCTCTTCAACCGCATGTGAAACCAGTAGTGAGTACCACAATGAAAGCGTGTAGCATTGCAACTAGGTGGGCATTTCCTGTCACAGCACCAACAAAAAGGGAAAGAAAGGGATAAAGCCTTAGGCCTAATAAATAAATAAACAAAAGCAATAAACTAACTCTTAGAAGAGTTTTGTTGGAAGCTCTATTAATTACAAAGGTGGGAGGAAAGGTTATGTAATGGCAGTAGAACTTTGGTTGTAGGTACGATAAGACTTATACACATACAGGAATGTGGAAGCAACCCCCGGAAATTCCATAATATTGTAAATCAGTGAAAAATAAGAATTACATAGCACATGTTAAAATAGTAGATTGTCAAAGAAACTTTGGTACATTTACACAATGGAGTACTATGTAGCTGTTAGAAAAGACGAAGTCACGAAATTCACATACAAGTGGTACTACATGGAAAATATCATGTTAAGCGAAATGACTCAGAAAGAAAGGGATAGACATAGAAAGATTGCATTCATCTGGGGAACATAAAGTAACAAAATAGGAGACTAACACCCAAGAATGGCCGAAATTAGTACCAGGAATTCTACTCCATGACTTGGAGGCCAACCACACATACTAGGGAAAAGGGAGCTCAAAGAGGAGAACACCAAATAAAGGTGTTGGGAGGACCCTCCCAGGATGGGAGAAGCATGCTGAAAGTAGACTATAGACCAAACATGATTGCCACTCACTGTTTCTTTTGCAAACCACAACACCCAAAAGGAGAGAGAGAACAGAGGGGAATGCCCTGCCACAGAGCCAGGATAGGATGGGGGGGATGGGCGGTGGGAGGGATACTGGGATGCATGGTGGTGGGAAGTGGGCACTGGTGGAGGGATGGTATTTGATCATTATATAATTGAAACCCAAGCACAAAAATGTGTAAGTTTGCAACTGTACCTCATGATGTCTCACTATTAAAAAAAATTTTTTAATAAAAAAATAAAATAGTAGATTGTCAAATAATACATGATGATCCAGGTATTTTGTAAAATGTTGCTATTCAAATATTCAATATTAAATATTAAGTTATAACACATTTAAATATATTACAATTAAATGATGTATAAATATTTCATATTAAATTATTTTCATATGAAAATGTTAAAAATAGTAATCCTTACTGGTAGGAACTCATGCTCTCACATGTTTTCCTAGGTTTCTACTATGAGTGCCATTAGTTACTTTTCTTTTAAATGTCACACTGTCTGTATTAATGTACCAATCACAGAAAGGGAGAAGAGAAAGGACTGGCCTGATTCTCTTGCAGCTCCCAAAGAGAAGACTAGCCCTCCCCAAAGTAACTCTGGTTGTGTCAAACTACTTCTTGCCGCATTGCTGATTCTTCTGCTGCTGACAATCTCATTTTTAACCGCCTTTATCGGTAAGTAGCTAATAGAATCAGGAAGGAATATCTCCCTTACCTGAAGAGATAGCATTCTTTAGACACTGATAATTGAACAATGGATTTAACCAGAAGAGCTGAGGTCTTCTCTAGGGGAAACAGAACAAACAGGCATCCATTGGAAACATGGTTCTTTATTTGAATTTTGTTACTCTTCATGAAATAATGTCACCAACGTTGTTTGGGGAAAGTAAAGTCTATATGTATGTGCACAAGTTTGTATTTTAAAGTGAAACCTCTAAGGCATCACTATGTACATTAGACTGTTTTGGTAAATGAAGATAAATGTCTATTCCTTAGTAGTGTTGTTCAGGCCTTTTAAAGTGCAGTCACATAGTTTGGGATGACCAAGCAGAAAAGAAAATGAGAAAAGAATATTTCAGGCAGAGTTTTCTATTAAATTTTTACCTTATTCCTTTTTGACCTATCATATGTAGATGTTGTAAAAGTCAGTTGCAATGAGGTATATATCCGTATCCTGCTATCCGCAACATGCATATCTTAGGCTTCAGAATTTTAAAAAACTTCGGGGCCACATCCAGAAGTGTATAGGGCTTACTCTTCACTTTGTACTCAAGGATCACTCTGGTTGGACACAAGGGTCAGTCTATCTACTGCATAGCTCAATAATGGAGATATTCACAAGTAGCAGGTTTCTGAGTGAGGGTGATGATTTAAGTTTGTGGTACATTGATTTTTGTTGACTCGTGAACCTCACCTGGACCTGTCTAATGGGAGATATATTGGCCAGAGTTTGATAAAGAAGTCTAGTAAAGGCCCTCCCGTTGATCATCGATTTGCTCGAGCAGGCCCAGTAACTTCTCCATTGAAGACTTTGTTGTTACTGTGTTTGGCATATCGAATACGTCACGGGGAGCTTGCCAGGCTTTATTCCATATTGCAGAGGAAACTGTGGATACTCGTGCTATCACTCATGTAGAGGCTTTTCAATGAGAGAGAGGATAAGAAATTTACAATTGAAAGAAGGACGAGTAAAGAGCAGTGTATGGTAATTAAAGAAGCATCTGCAAGATTTGTGAGGAATACTAGATTTTTAAAAGAGGTGAGAAGTCTTGAGATTAAGAAGCATCAGAAAGAAAGGAGGGGCAAACCCAGGAAACAGTGGTGTCCAAGAATGAAGTGAAAAGAACTAATTTCAAGAATTGCAGAGGTCCAAAACCGCCAGGTTTTCTCAGAGTCAGAAATGGGTGACCTCCCCCCATCTCCCTGTTCTTCCGGAAGCCTGGCAGTCATGCCCACGAACTGCCTCTGGTGCCATAAGAAGCTCATTAATGATCATGATCCAGACAGTCACAAATAAATTTCGGAGGAGATCATCAGCAAGCTGCAGAGATGCCTTTGGATCCTGAAGTCCCCATCAAGTTAAAAATTTAACTCTAGTTGTATCACCCTTTTCAAAATTTTAGAATTCCTGGAGTGTGTGACCACAAATGGGCTGCACAACATCTCATACTCTGTACCATTGCTGTACGAGAAGTAGCACACCACATTAGATGCCTAAAAATAGAAAGCAACCAATCTTGATAAAAGAAAACAAAACAAACACACTTAAAAGCACACAAGGCTCAAATTGTAACAACATATGAGCAATCTCTTCTACCAGGGCTTAATGATTCCAGGGTGGTATACAACAATCTTCACAGACTTCTTTTCTAAAGAAATTTTGTTGATCGTTTTTAGTGAATTATACATAAAAAGCAATTAAAAATGAAATATTTCAGACCTGCTCTTGGGGCAGGCTTGCGTTGTGGTTGGGAAAATTTGAAATAAATTTGGTGGGAAGTTAATGGTCGGTGGGAAGGTGTAATGGTCGTGGGATTCGTGTTGGATTAGTGAATGTAAAGAATTATTGTGAACAACTTTATATTCCAAAAAAGAATTGCAAGATTTCCAAGAAAAGATGTGTTAGAAGTGTCCCTTGGATGTGGTTGGGACATTGCAAGAGTGCAGTGGTTTAAGGGGAAGTTAGAATTGGTTGGTCAGGGAGGTAATGGGAGGTGAGGAAGAAAAAGAGAAATTTCACCTGTTAGAGAGGGAAGTAGATTTATCTTAAAATGTGAGAGACTTGGGGCCAGAGCGATAGTACAGTGAGTAGGGTGTTTGCCTTGCACGTGGCCAACACGGGTTTGATCCCCGGCATCTTATATGGTCCCCCAGCACCGCCAGGGGTGATTCCTGAGTTCTGAGCCAGGAGTAACCCCTGAGCATCAGTTTGTGTGACACAAAAAGCTTTCCCAAAAGTGAGAGAGTTGAGTGTACTGGTGTGCAGAAGAGTGATAGTTGGGATAGACGAAAGGGAAAAAGATGAAGAAACAAATGCTCTTCCCTCCTTGTTAGATTTTTTTTTTAAATTTTCCCTTTCTACAGGTAACCCAGACCTTAGAATTGCTGGTTTTCTTCCTCAAAGACATGATTTTACATCTTCAGATAGAAATGTTTAACCATATCTCACCTCTTTCTTCTCTAAGGTTTAGCATTTGTATACATATCACCCAGTTATTGTTGAAGGTGAGGATGGATAATTGCCTTTAGATCCATTATACAAGAATTGCCGTAGCCTCTTTCATCCCATTCTGAAAACAAACCTGTGGTTTCAACATCTGTAGGATTAGAATGTGTTGAATGCTGGGCAAGGAGGTGTTTTTTCCACAGTTAGAAACTTTCTATTGGAGCAACTGTGTATTACAGGTTTCATTCAAGAAAGTGGCAGTAAAAAGAAAAGCAGTACCAGGAAAATGATTGTTGTCATTCTCTTTCTAGTTTTTTTCCAAAAATATTCTAAACTTGTTCAAGAAGAAAAATTTACACAAGAACTGGCTCAGACAGTGTTGGAATGTAAGAAAGAAAAGTTGACCCGGAAAGGTAAGAACTAATATGCATAGAATTGAATTGCTTAAGTTGCTTACTATACTAGTGGAACTAATGACTATGGTTGTAGAACTAATGTAATAAAATTATTACTAATTACAATAATAATTACCAATATGGAACTAATATACTTTTATTTATATAAGTTTCTGACCAAACTAGGTAAGAACAAATATGCATATAATTGAATTGTGGACTCTACTGTACTACGCCCTACCACGCTGTGGCAAACTTCCAACCATGGACCCTTGTGTTCACTGTCCTATATCCAATATCAGACTATGTCATCACAGTCATCACTGTCATCCCGTTATTCATTGATTTGCTCAAGCGGGCACCAGTAACATTTCCATTTGTCCCAGCCCTGAGAGTTTAGCAACCTCTCCTTACTCGTTCTTCTCAACACTGCCTTATTGGAGGCTCTTTAAGGGTCAGGGGAATGAGACTCATTATTGTTACTGTTTTTGGCATATTGAATACACCATGGATAGCTTGTCAGGCTCTGATGTGCAGACAGGATACTCTCAGTAGCTTGGTGGGTTCTCCGAGAGGCAAGATCTTGATCTGATCTCTGATCTGATCTTGTCTGATCTCAAAAGTCATACTATGTTTTTCATTAAAAATTTTTTTAATTAAATCACTGTGAAATAAACAGTTGCAAAGTTGTTCATGACTGGGTTTCATCATACAATGTTCCAACACCCATACCTTCACCAGTGTACATTTCCCACACATATCAATAGTTCCAGTAAGATTCGTGGGTAAAGTATATTTAAGAACTGTTTCATAACTGTTTTAAGTGTGCATCTATATCAGGCCTCAATTATTTTGTGTGCATATTTTTAATTAATCTGTGAAAAAGTGATTGCATAGCTTTTCAACTTCTTCTCTGTTTTGCTACACTTGGCGGTGTTCAGGTCTTAACCCTGTGCTTCAATTAGGAATTACTCCTTGGCGGTGCTCTGAGGATATTATAGGGTGTCAGGTGTAAAACACAAGTCAGCAAGTTGGCAGGAAAGTGCCTGCCCATTGTACTCTACCTCCTTTGGATTTCCTTAGTCTTCACTTCTCTCTGTATTTTATATCAACTCTTATATCCCTCACATATTTGTTAAAACTGACTTACTCAAGAGAGATCTAATTCAGTTGTGTGTTTTTAAAAAATTTTTTTATTAATGAATCACCGTGAGGTACAGTTACAAACTTATGAACTTTCATGTTTGCATTTTAGTCATACAATAATCGTTTACTCATCCCTCCACCAGTGCTCATTCTCTTACACTAATATTCCCACCACCCCCACCCTATCCCCCACCACTCCACCCCTTTCGGTGGCAGAGCATTCCCTTTTGTTCTCTCTCCTTTCGGGTGTTGTAGTTTACAGTAGAGGTATTGAGTGGCCATCGTGTTCAGTCAATAGTCTACTTTCAGCACGTATCTTTCAAACCGAATGGGTCCTCCCAACATTCTTTACTTGGTGTTACCTTCTTTATCTGAGCTTCCTTTTCCCTCAGCATGTGAGGCCAGTTTTCAAGCCAAGGAGCAGACCTCCTGGCCCTTATCTCTACTACTCTTGGGTGTAGAGATAATCTCCCACTCTGTTACTTTATGTTCCACAGATGAGTGCAATCTTTCTAAGCCTGTCCCTCTCTTTCTGACTCATTTCACTTAACAAGATACTTTCCATGTTGATACATTATATGCAAATTTGATGACTTCGTCTTTTCTGACAGTTGCATAGTATTCCGTTGTGTAGATGTACCAAAGTTTCTTTAACCAGTCATGTGTTCTTGGGCACTCAGGTTTTTTCCAGATTTTGGCTATTGTAAAAAGTGCAGCAATGAGCATACAAGTGCAGATGTCATTTCTAATATACTCTTTTGCCTCTCTGGGATATATTTCCAGGAGTAATATTATTGGGTCAAATGGGAGCTCAATTTCTAATTTTTTGAGAATCGTCCATACTGTTTTCCAAAAAGATTGAACTAGTCGTTATTCCCACCAGCACTCAATGTGGGTCCCTATCTCTCCACATCCGTGCCGACACTGGTTGCTTTTGTTCTTTTGGATATGGGCCAGTCTCTGTGGTATGAGATGATATCTCATTGTTGTTTTGATCTGCATTTCTCTGATGATTAGTGATGTAGAACTATTTCTCATGTGTTTTTAGCTATTCAGATTTCTACTTTGAGAAAATTTTTGTTCATTTCATCACCCTATTTTTTTATGAAGTTGGATGTTTTCTTCTTGTGGAGTTCAATCGGTGCCTTGTATAGCCTTGATATCAACCCCTTATCGGATGGGTATTGGGTGAATATCATTTTCCATTCTGTAGACTGTCTTTGTTTTGGTCACTGTTTCTTTGGAGGTGCATAAGTTTCTTAGTTTAAGACAGTCCTATTTGTTTATCTCTGTTTTCACTCGCTCTGCCGGTGGCATGTCATCTTGAAGATACCGTTAGCTTCAATGTTGTGGAGGGTTTTGTCAACCTTGTCTTCAATGTACCTTATGGATTCTGGTATGATGTTGAGGTCTTTAATCAATTTTGATCTGACTTTTGTACATGGTGTTAAGTAGAGATCTGAGCCCATTCTTTTTGCATGTAGCTGTCCAGTTTTGCCTGCACAATTGATTAAAGAGGATTTCCTTGCTCCATTTCACATTTCTTACTCCCTTATCGAAGATTAGATGATCATATATCTGGGGGGGAGGAGGATTTGTCAGTATATTCAACCCTGTTCCATTGGTCTGCGGCTCTGCCTTTGTTCCAGTACCATGCTGTTTTCAATTATTACTGCTATGTAGTAGAGTTTAAGGTTGAGGAGGTTGATTCCTCCCGTTTTCTTTTTCTCAAGAATTGCTTTAGTTATTTGTGGGGGCTTATTTTTCCATGTGAATTTCAGGAGTGTTTGCTCCATTTATTTGAAGATTGTCATGGGTATGCTTATAGGGATCACATTGAATTTGTACAATGCTTTGGGGAGTATTGCCATTTTGACTATGTTAATTCTCCCAATCCATAAGCAGGGGCATATCTTTCCATTTCCTCGTGTCCTCTTTTATTTCCTGAAGTAGCATTTTGTAGTTTTCTTTCTACAATTCCTTTACCTCCTTTGTTAAGCTGATTCTGAGGTACTTGATTTTCTGAAGAACGATTGTGAACAGGGTTGCTTTTTTCATGTCACTTTCTTCTCTCTCATTTTTGTGTATAGGAAAGCCATAGACATTTGGGTATTGATTTTATAGCCTGCAACTTTACTATACAAGTCTATTGTTTCAGGAGTTTCTTGGTAGAGGTTTTAGGGTTCTCTAAGTATAGTACCATATCATCTGCGAATAGTGAGAACTTGATTTCTTCCTTTCCTATCTGAATGCCCTTAATATCTTTTTCTTGCCTAACCGCTATTGCAAGTACTTCCAGTACTATATTGAACAACAGTGGAGAGAGCGGGCATCGTTGTCTCATCCCTGATCTTGAGGGAAAGCTCTTAGTTTTTCCCCATTGAGAATGATGCTTGCCATAGGCTTGTGGTCGATGTCTTTGACTATATTGAGGAAAGTCCCTTCTATACCCATTTTGGCGAGGGTTCTCATCATAAATGGGTGCTGAATCCTATCAAATATTTTTCCTGTATCTATTGATATGTTCATACGGTTTTTATCTTTTCTTTTGTTGACATGATGGATTATGTTGATTGATTCTGAATGTTAAACCATCCTTGCATCCCTGGGATGAATCCTACTTGGTCGTGGTATTTGATCTTTCTGATGAGTTGTTGAATTCTATTTGCTAGTGTTTTGTTCAGAATCTTTGCATCCGTTTCCATCGGGGATATCGGTCTGTAGTTTGGGTTTTTTTTTTGTGTGTGTGTGTGTGATGTCTTTGTTTGCTTTTGGTATTAGGGAGATATGAGCTTCATAGAAACTGTTTGGGAGAGTTTCTGTTTCTTCAATTTCCTGGAAAATCTTGAGAAGAACTGGCAATAGGTCCTCTTTAAATATCTGGAAAAATTTGCTAGTGAATCCATCTGGACCTGGGCTTTTGTTTTGGGGAAGACTTTTGATTACAGTTTCAATTTCCTTGATATTAATAGGACAATTCAAGTATTCCATATCTTCTTGATTAAGTCTTGGGAGATTATAGGAATCCAGGAATTTATCCATTTCTTCTAGGTTCTCTTGTTTCGTGGCATACAGACTTTCAAAGTAGTCTCTGATGATCTTTTGAATTTCTTTGGTTTCTGTTGTGAAATCCACCTTCTCATTTCTGATTCAGCTTATTAGGGTTCTCTCTCTCTTTCTTTGTGTGTCTTGCTAGTGGTTTATCAATCTTTCTTATTTTCTCAAAGAATCAGTTCTTGGCTTCATTGATCTTTTGGATTTTTTGGGGGTTTCCTTGTCATTAATTTCTGCTCTAAGAGTTTTATTATCTCTTTCATTCTGCCTGGTTTGGACTCCTTTCATTGGTCCTTTTCTAAGATCTTGACCTGTGAAGTCAATTTGTTTATGTGGGCCCTTTCTTCCTTCTGAGAAGTGCTTGCAGAGCTATAAATTTTGCCCTTAGCATAGCTTTAACTGCATCCCACAGGTTCTGATAGCTCATGTCTTCATTCTCATTTGTTTAGAAGTATCTTTTGATTTCTTCCTTGATTTCCTTCCTGACCCACTCATTGGTAAACATTGAGTTGTTTAATTTCCAGGTGTTTGATTTGGTTTTCTGTGTCTGTAAATGATTAACTTCTATCTTCAGTGCATCGTGGTCCGAAAAGATAGTTGATGCAATGTCTATCTTCCTGATTCAGTTGAGATATCTTTTGTGGCCCAGCACATGGCCTATTCTGAAAAATGTTCCATGTGCACTGGAAAAAAATATGTATTCTTTTTTGGGGGGACATAAAGTCCTGTATCGATATATTAGCCCTCTCTCTTCTATTTCTTCCTTCAAAACCATTATTTTCTTCTTGAGTTTTAATCTTTAATCTATCCAGAGGTGA